AAGGAGTCTGCATGAGAACATAAAAGCTGTATCAATAATACCCTATCTTTGGTTATCTGTCCTTTTCGCTCGCTTTTATCGGTTATAATTAATCTAAGACAAAAGATTAGAGACTGTAAATACTATCATAAAAACTAATTCAAATTATCTTGACAATGCTAACACTTTCATTAAATATCAATGTAGTGCTATGCTCATTTTTTAAAGAAAGTAAATTATTTTATATTTAACATGTGAATGCAAGACGGCTGTTGGGACAACATAAAGAGTCTCGTACTTTGTAAACAGTTAGCAGGCTCAGACAAAGTTTTTATGAGATGTATTCACCCTATTTCTTTTAAGGTGATGAGGAACTGGTAGTATATCTTTCCCACAAAAATATGAGTAAATCTGACGTTTTCATTGAATTTCACATAGCCTTCCTTTACCAAAAGTTGTTCTCCTCCATGGTAGACTGCACTTTTGACCTTTCGCAGATCTTATCAGCACACCAAACGGCACTCAAACCGTAGCAGTGCTGCATGTGAACTTGGCACGTTAACCATTTGGCCACATTGCCACGAGTGACCATGGGTCACAGGGCAGATGCGAATTTCCAGGAAGGCCAATCCCTTTTTCATATCACATTATTTGGTAGGATTTTAGATGAAACAAACGTATTTTTGCAATATAAATCGACAACATCACTAATTTTTCGTATAAAAATGAAGTTTCAAAACTAGCACTAAATCAGTTATCTGAGATATATTTACCCCGATTCGCATACGGTGATGAAAGACTGGTAGAAGTATTTTCTCACAAACTACACCTCATATAACTGAATTACTGGAAGTCTCAAAACTCTACTTACATTTAAAAAATCGTTTAATTTATCTCGGTTTTAACATATTCTACATACCAGGAAATTTTTTTAGTAAAATTAATATAGGAGCAGCCTATATTTACAAACATATATAGTTCATATAAAGTGATCTGTCTTTGTTGAAGTAAGTTTCAGTCCCTTTGAAGAGAAGAAAAAACGTGATTAAAAGGAATTCGTAGATTGACCTCACCGGATACCAAAGGAGGGTTGCCTTAGACGTTTCTCTGTTAACTTGTATGTAATAGACTTGGGCTTACAGTCCTACAACCTTAATGACTCCATGCTAAGCTTCCGATCGTCATTTGACGGACATCATCAGAGCCATAAACCATTATTCACGGACAATCACCACAAACCATTAGCCAAGAAAGTTGGACAACTGAGATTCTGCTTACTTCTTATACCTTACTTTCCGATCTTAATAAAAATTTTAAATATTTGTTCGGCTTTCCTATGCTTATCCTAGATGCATGTAAGCGGATGTGATCACAAATTTTGTCTATGCAAATAAACTTGTATGTGATCTTGCAATCCTGTATCATGTTATAGCTTCGTGTATGTGTGTTCGTGTGTGTATGAAACAACCACGAGTTAGTTGGTAATTTGATGTCCAAAACAGACTCCAGCTTTGTCAAGTCTTCTCCTTTTAAACAGTAGCTTTTCCTGTTAGCCTTCTTTCCTTCTCTCTCTCTCATTATATCTAATCGCCAGAGATAGTTCTTACTTAGTTTACTACATTGGTTCCTCTTATTCAAAATTTTCTATGTTTTATTAATCTTAATTGACTCTTTGATCTTCTGCTTAGCTAGGAAGTCCCCATATCCGGCAAAACTTTGGGATTTAGACCATTTAGTCTGATGTCATAAAGTGGACACATGGTCAGCCATCGCTAATTTCTGTATCCATAAATTTTTGCAGGCGTTCCTGTGTTTTTATAGTCTTTTATCTATGGATTGACAAGTCTGCCTTATATAAGCACTACCACATGAACATAAAACCTTATTAGTACCTGATTTGTAGAAGACATATGAAGATTTACTAAAAGGTGGCGTGAACAAGGAAAGCATTATTTTTTCTATATTTATTCTCTTAACGCTCCATTTCCTTAGTAATTTGCTTATCTTTGTTGCAAGCTTGCGGGATGGTAGCACTATAAACCTAGATAAAGTGTTATCTTATAAATTGTTTGTCACAATTAATGGATTCCTTTCGCCCTATGCAAAACAGTGAAGCCCTAAAAATGATCAATCCTTAGTTTTCCATCTTAAAAGAAGCTCAAACTTCTTTGTATATGAGCATGAATCTTATAACATCCTGGAAACTATCATCTACATTTGATAATATTACGAATAACAACATTTCGCAACAGTTTCCAAAATTATTCTTTTACATACTTTGACTTGTTTCAAACAAATAAATTTAGCAATAATATATATTTTTTACTATATATTACTATGCTTAAAAATAGTACGATTTTTTCTCGTTTCTTTCTTTTAATTTTTGCCGCGGGAAACATGCCTCAGATTGATCATAACGTCTTTCTTTTTGTACCTAACCTTATTGGTAAATTGTATTGGTATCTTATTTACTAACTTATATTTTAGGTTATGGGCGCGTATTTTTATTGGCATTGTCCTGCTGGCATATGTTAAGTGATTCTCGGAAAACGATAATTGCCTATATCTTATCCGGACTTTTGGACGCTGTTGATGGCCATGCTGCTAGATCCCTTAACCAAAGTACTTACCTATTGGTCTACCTTTTAGGTACTAAATTTGGCGCTATGTTGGATATGTTGGTTGATCGCTGTGCGACAATGTGCCTGCTTGTCGCCTTGGCCTATTTCTATCCCAATTACATGTTTTTATTCCAATTATCTATGTCAGCAGATATTGCCAGCCACTGGTTGCATATGCATACGTAAATTTTTCATGAATATAGTTTAAATAGGTCTTTAGCTACTGGTAAAAACAGTCACAAGTCCATTAACCTTGAGGGAAATGCAATTCTAAAGCTTTACTATACCAACCGGGTAGGTTGTTTTTTTTTTACTTTCTTAGATTGTGCTATTCTTCATGTGTGCTGGAAATGAAATGTTTTATTCCATGCTTTATATAATACATTTCCACTCATTCTTAGGTGAGAAAGAAATTATATACATTGCATTTTTTGCTTTTACAGTTATTTAGTTTGGTTTTTACACCATCAGTATTGATTCCCGCAATTCATTTTCTCTATGCTTCTACACTGATATTATTATGCCATAAGATAGCCTAAGTAAAGTATTGTTTGGTGTGGGCTTCTTGACCCATCCGTTAAATTTAAGTATTTGATGCTTTTAAAGAGTTTCTCCTATCTCAATTAATAGTCATAGGAATATTTCATTTATTAAATTAATTTTTGGTCAGTTTTTGTTTAATAAGATTTTAAATTCTTTTTTAGTCTATGGACTGTGCATTTTCAAATTAATTGCAATAATTACAGCTCCTGTGGCCTTTGCAAAATTTTGCATTAATTTAATTCATTTACATGCGGCTTCTGTAAACTTGGCAGGAATTGATGCTCAGGATAAGCGAATCGATCTCGGCAAACATTAGAAAGCCTGGCTTATATGTTTATAGCTACCCTTACATAATCTCATTTTAATTTTCGATGTGATACTCTCCTATTCTCAGTAATTTTTAGAGTTTTTTTGGCACAAATTTCACGTAACTCGATTAACATGACACTTAACAGGAGAGCTTGAATTTGCAAATTTTATTTTTTATTGATATTTTATTTGTATTGTTAGATTGCATTTATTAGTAAATGGATTTTGTTCCAGTCTTGAACTTTTTTGATACTGTTACTCTGAGCATAGTCGAATAGTTGAGCTTTAGCCTAATGATTTTGATCATTATTTCGTAGATGAATTATTGGCTAAAATTTTTTATATGCATAGGGAAGTTTGATTTAAAGTTTGAAATGAAGTGGTTGGTTAATTAGCCTCATCGGAAACTGAAAGAGAATTTTATCGTGTTGGCTGATTTATCTTAAGGCCATTTGGCACTATCTCTTAACCCCTGAAATCAGGAAGGGACTAACCAAAATTCATAACACACTAAGCCAAGAATTATAATAAGCTCCGATCCTACCTATTTATGAAGATTTGATTTTGCTATCGTATTATGGTTTATAGTAATTTTGCTATCTCATGCTTATTGTAAATGCTTGCTGGTAAGCTTGACTCTCGAACATTTTCCAAATACATCGTCCATGCAGAGATCTATTAGAATTCGCATTGACATTTCATGCTCAATTCCAGTTCGTTTAGCTAAGGAGAGTGCTATATATCTACTTAAACCTATTTAACTCGAAGTATTTAGGCTTAGAATGAAATAGTAGATCGAAGCAGTGTCTCATTAATATCGAGAAATGGGGTCGGCTATAAAAAGTAAAATTTCTCCCGACCGCCACCTTGGCTTAAAGCTTGGAACGTTTTTGTTAACCGATGTTACCTGTCTTCATAAATAGAAAAATGAAAACTCAGTTACAGTACTCTGTCCAAAAGACTTCTAATAAATTGTTAATCAATTTCAAGGCTTTCCTTCAGTTTGCGACTGAGT